ATTGCTGGGTAGTTCCCGTAGGTTCCTCTCAAAGTAGAAAGATATTAGGCTATCTGCTTCATTCTATATTAATCTACTCTGGCCGGGCTGTATGATACAAGGTTTTCATTTCTTTTTTTTTTTATACAACTTAGAATGGCAAACAAGCTGACGGTCCACTTGATGGAAAGTGGTAACCGTCGCCTATAGACATGAGCAGTACCATGGTCATAATAGAGTATACTATTTCGCCCATGTCGAGTCCTCAGGAATGGCAACGCATGGGGGGTATCCCCCATGCGTTGCCATTCCTGAGGACTCAGGTGTTATTCCTCTGTACCCAGTAAATTCACGCCATATACGCCCACCCTTCAAACCGAAACACAGCCATGCAAACACAGCTGCTTCACGGTTGAAAAACGAATGGGACAGAGGTACCCAAGCAATCGACTTTAGTACAAAGTCTCCTTTTCTTACATTCTATGTATTCTTTGCTACAATAATTTCTTGTGATATTAATAGCTATTTCCCACCGTTTTGTCCCCGTTGATCCACACTAATATTATAAATCAGTACTTGTAGCATCGCGTTACAAATTTAATTAAAAACCGTTCAGGCGTTTAAGTAACAAACATACAAATATCTTTATAAACATTCATATTGTACTATTATTTTGTCATATTAAGAAGATAATATTTTCATATTTTCTACATATTATGATGTGTTATTTATTTATGTACGTTATTTATTATACAACCAACTTTAAAAACGAGGATACACTTTATATAGATTTGTAATTGTCAATACGCAATATATTCACCGATCCTAAACATATTTTAGTTATTATTTTGCAATCTTTTTTATTCTAATAATAAATCATATTTATTTTTACTCCACGCAACTACCTTTTACTTTCAATTGTCACTATTTTACTGGGGAGGACCTGGTGTCTAAGATACAAGTTACGACTTAGTTTAGGCTCCAAATCTCCCACAAAATAAGATACATTTATTCTGTATAAATTCTTTAAAAAAAATCAATAGAGCTATATACTCCCATGTTTTGTATTTGTTTTGTTGCTATTAATATTAAATCTTTGTGTGTTAAAATTTTCGATTATTATATTATTTAATTACTGTAAAAATGTGTAGGTAATATGAATATTATATATATGTTATTTTTTAATTACTATTTTAATGTAATATTGTTCGTTACGTTGCACCGACAATACATTTTATCATTCCTCTTTTTGTTATTGTCTTCAGTCAACTAGTAGATAACTCCATACGTTTTTAGTTCGACCTTTACACTTTCTTGATGTTTAAAGTTTTATTAAACTTTAATACATCTAGAAAGTGTAAATATTATTTTTAGTTATATCGATCCGAGATTTATAAATTCAATTAGCCGTTCCCAACCCTGTTAATGTTTACTAAATAAATAAATTACTAATTATTAATTTATCGTTCGCTTACTTGTCGCAGTCTTTGCTTGCTTATTTCGTTCTTTGGAAATGTGTAATTACATCTCAGGAAATGATACTCATAAAATATTCCATTATAATTGTTCTCGTGACACGCGGATTCTTAGAGAAGCACAATAGTGATCCGACTAAAGATAATTTATTTGCCAAAATCCTATAAGCTGTTACATAAAGGTATATGAAGACTTTGAGATAAAAGATAAATAAAATAAAATGAAATTGGTTTACAACTGACGGTATCAATTATAAGGTAAAAAATATAAAAAAAAATATAACCGAATTGGAAACCTCCTTCTTCCTGAAATCAGTTAAAAAGAAATTAAAAATAAAAAGAAAATCTTTCGTTTCACTAATATAACGAAATTGTAACTAGATCATGGCTCTACATGGGGGACATTTAAGAAAAATTGATGAGGGGGTCTTGATAAAAATAATAGATTCTAAAACGATACTTCTTTCATATTTTGTCCGTCTATCTGTGTGTTTGTTCTGGCATCACGAAAAACAACTGCATCAAATTGGATGCGGTTTACATAATTGTTTTCCTAAAGGAATTAAATGAAAGGAGAATTATTGTCTTACATAAAATCTGTTGTAGGTATATTTTATTTTAATATGCCGTCTTTAAGTTTCATTATTATTTCATTTCATTTTCTTACATTTGACTTATTTATCAATAAAATTTGAGCTATTTAATAAATAGAAAAATATAGTCAGTAAAAAAAATGCGAAGAGTGTTTACCAAAAAGGACAAGTAAAAAGAATTTATATGTGGGATATATATATATATATATATTTTAAACTTGATAATAATAAATATTTTTACATATTATATAAAAATCTTTATTCATTACTAACCATACTTATTCACATTCAATAATGTATATTTATGCATTGATAATACCCCACTAAATTCTACTATTGATGCATATTAAATAAACGGAATTCATGTATAAATAGTCAATATAATGCGATTTGAACCCGGATATGGCTAGTCCTAGATTAACGTACGATTAAGGCTTCGCATTATGCTCCGTAAAGAACATTTGTAACTGTTTGCAATAATAGACAAATACATAACATACGAATGGTTCACTTCTAAGAATAAGACATACTTATGGAGTGATTGTTTCAAAATTCACTGTGAACTGTAACCAGATGAATTTTCACTTAAATTTTTTTTTTCGATACACACAGTCTAAAGGAGTCTATTAAGTACTGTAAAAAATAAAATTGAATCCATATATTCGAAATTCGAACCAAAGGCTAGTTTGAACGACATTTTTAAGTGCATGCGTTACACCCTACATTAGCTTAACGTAGTGTTCATAAAATGTACTTTGTACCCTATTACATTACACTTTTACTGTGTAATTTCTCAAAAACGGAAAATTTAAGTGGGTCCGTAAGTTTTTATCGAAAGTTTTATTAAGATTGCGTTATCTATTTTATTGGTAAAGTGTTGTGTAAATTGTTTTAACTGAATAGAGCGGCTTTATCTGCATAAAATATAGAGAAAAGTATTATATCTATTTATTTAGGATATAGTTCATCTCAGTACCAAATTTCATTTAAATCCATTCAGTCGTTCAGGCCTGATCGAATAATAAACATTCAAACATAAATAGCTTAATATTATGTAAAATATGATAACATTACTAGGACCCTTTTTTAGAGATAATAGACCAGTGCAATCTCTGGCATAATAAGCTAATTGTTTAATCCCAGGGCAATTAGTGACAAAACATAACGACCCTTATGGGAGGCACAGTATATATTATGTAACATGTAACCGTATATTTATGCCTGTAGGTGATACCAATCTGTACATATAGCTTGTTTGCTTTTCTAGGTGATATTTACATTACTAGAAAATACGTAGTAGCAACCCATTATCTTTCTACTAGTGGACATGGGTTTCCCATTGAAGAGGATACATCACCAACTATTAGCGACTCGGTATGGATAGGGTTTTGTTTCAAAATATTTTTCTCTTTTACTAGTTTAATATACATTGCTTTCTATTACAAATTATCACCTTTACTTCGTTTGTTATTCAATTATCAAACAATCAGGATTACTTTGAGGTGACAAGGAGTGGTGACAATATTCATCACCATGCAGGCGATGAAGTAAAAGTGCAAAAATTGCTAAAATATTATAAAATTAAAATACAAATAAAACTGAATATTTCGTTTAGTAGATTTTGTTCCATAAAAAATATCCTTTTTTGATTTCAAAACTAAACTACCGATTTTGATAAAATTTCTATAGAATCAATCTGGAAACATATCCTTTTATTGTCTAAGTAATATTATTATACTATTACTATTATTATTATTGATAATTGATAATATGCTAATTGAATAAATCAATTCACATTTTTACGTCAAGATATTATTTAATTTTTTTTAAAGATGTAGGTTGATGTTTGTCAACAATAATCGAAAATACCATAAATAAAAAGCTACATTATTAGAAAATAAACTCTAATTCCCTCATTCGTAAAAACTAAAACCTACAAACCTATTTGAACTATTACACTGTTTTGTCACTTATTTCAAATTAGGAATTTAGCATAAAAAAGAGACAAAACAGTTCAATAGCTAAAATATGTTTATGTGTTGTTTAAAGCGTGATTAGTAGAGTCAAAAGGATAAGACCAAATTTTTAAGGCTACTGACAGAATAACTGTGAAATGTACTTTTTCTAATGTTAAAGGTCAAAGAACCTATTTTCCTTTACAAAAAAAGTTAACATTTTTCTTTAAAGTTTTTTTGAGTTTCACTTTTAAAGGGGGTAGGTAACCTTTGTATTTAGCTTTGTGATCTTAAATCCGACTCCTTTAACATTTATCTGACACATTCTAAAAACAGTTAATGAATAAATAAAATAGAACAAATTATCTTTTTAAATTCCTCGTGTTTGATGTATATCAAATTTAACGATAAAAATACTTGTTATTTTTATAAAATTCTTTACGATACTTGAAAGAATATTCAGTCAAAAGGATGAGTGACGATTAAATAATGCAATATTTTATTCTGTACTCTTTAAAGAAATTAATCGTTTCTAAAAAAATATTTTTTTTAGTTGCCTTTTGGTCAATTTAATGATAGAATTGTTACTAACGATAATATCTATGAAGGTGTAAGAATTTATTTATTTTATTTTATTTCATTTGATTAGGGAAACATATAATTTCTAAAAGCATACATAATTAGTAATTAAATCAGTGAAATTTCTATAAAAACTTATACATTAAATAATTGAGAAAATACATGACAAAAGGGAAACACGAAAATAACAATAAAAAAGTTATTTTTTTCTACATTTAGTTGTTCTTCTTCTACATTTTTCTTATAGAAATTTAAACCTTCACTGAATATATCCGAAGAAAGGAACTGCTCATTATAACGACTACAGATTCTAAGAAGAATACAATATTACCTATATAATTTGTATATACAAAAAGATTACTGATAGTACAGACTTAATGTACCTATCAAGTAATTAAAATATATTTTGTTTGTTACAGCAATGAATTTCTCAATGCAACTGGCTGTGGTGGTAGCAGCAGCGTGCCTGTGCTTAGCCGAGGGTGCCCCAGACGGCAGACTGGTGAGGACCAAGCAGCAACGGCCTACCCGCGGCTTCAAAAATGTCGAGATGATGACCGCCAGGGGCTTTGGAAAACGCGACCGACCTTCCACGAGAACCGAACGTTAGTATAATAATATTTCAACGTCATCATTATCATTTCAGCCATTGATTGTCCATTGATGAACTTAGGCCTTCCCATAGACTGCCATAAGCATTAGAGGACGTCACTCTTAGTGGGGAAGGAAGGAGGGGGATCGTTATACATTGTATTTGCCTGTACAGGCTTACCATTTAAAAATATTTCTTCCCCATTGTATACAAGTATAGTACCTAATTCCTGCCCATTATTTTTGATTGGTATAATATACCTTCGTCTTTCATTAGTTACTATTTGCTATCGTTTAAGCATTCACTACTTTTCTGGCCATATCATCTTTCACACACTATTCATCTCTTTTTCGGACTTCCCTTGCTCTTAAAACCATACACGTTTTCAATCCATGTTTAAAAAAAAATTCATTATAAAAGTCTAAAATTTAAAGGAATAATTATTCTAGTTTGTAAATGTATATGATATTGTATATAGTTTATTTCTACAACCATTTTATTATAACGATTGTGTGATGTTCTAAATTTTTGTATGTAAATGATAAACCAAATATAGGTGAAAACAGTATAATTTCAATGAATATTCTCAAAGGTGACGTAGATCATGTAGAACATCAATCGGCATCGGACCGCACTGGGCGGGGTATTCCCACATTTAAGAGTCCCGCAGTGGGCATCGCACGAGACTTCGGGAAAAGAGCTCCAGAAAAAGTGGCTGAAGGTATAAAAGGGATTGGACGTACGAACGCCCGATGAAATGTCAAATAATTTATGTGCAGCTTACAATTAATAAAACCCATTCAGTGCTGGGTACAGTCGCTGGCACAATAATAGTGCTAATGTGACGCCGAACTAAATAAATAACGATGCGGGAATGCGAAACAATGAACAAACAAGTTACCTAATGTTCTACGTATATTTCACGTTACAAATTGTGGATAATATCACAAATCGAAACGTGATATCCATATTCTAGTACAATAACGTGCTTTTTCATTTAATGTCATTGTCATCCAAATCACATATGACATTATTAAATGTGCTATAAGATTAAATTTGGTTTTCGAACCGACGAAACAGTCTTTATAACTGATATACTAGCATGCACTCGTAATAAAATTTAGCTATCAGATACTAATTAGATGATCTGATCTGTGTTATTACTAAGGCTTTATTCCATGGGGTATGAAAAACTTAATCATTAAGTACCATCACCCCAATGCTAATATAATCTCGCAATAGTTAAATTAATTATACTTATATATGAATAATAGAATCTCCACTACAGATATAAACAAATAATTTTAAACACGTTGATGATTTTTTATGTATGGTTGTGTTTCGGTTTGAAGGGTGGGATATGGCGTGAATTTACAGGGTACAGAGGAATAACACCCGAGTTCTCAGGAATGGCAACGCATGGGGGGTATCATGTGCAAAACAGTATACTCTGTTATGTCTATGGTACTACTCATGTCTATAAGCGACGGTTACCACTTTCCATCAGGTGCGCCGTCAGCTTGTTTGCCATTCTAAGTTGTATAAAAAAAAAAACTATTTTGTGATATTTATCAGCTGAATGTAGTATTGAATCTTATTTAATATAAAATTCCTTAAATAATTTGACATCGTGACGTGATGAAGTATTTTCCATTTGTCATACATGGTATGCGGATATACTATGTATGATATTTTCAATCCAAATCCAATGTTCTAGACAGACGTATAATTCTATAGCATTTATTGTATAATAAAGAGTAGTTAATACTCTTTTTATTTATTTTTAAGATGCCTAACTGAACAAGAACTACACGTATCAAAATTACTAAAACGCCAATGCTTAGTTATATAATTTCAGTGTAAATATCAACTCTATTATAAGATTATTACTTCTAAACAATTGAAAGTAATTAAAAAAATGACATCATAAAAATATACATACATAAGCTCCTAATTCATAAATGTTAGGACGTGCATAGAAAACACTTGAAACAGATTTCTAAATAAAAAAAAAAACATGTGAAAATGTTTATACATACGAAATATTCTTTTTCTACAACAACATTTTTGTAATCTTCGTATTTTTTTATTATAACATACGATTTTGTATATACCTACCTAAATTCACACTAAGCTAGTGAAACACTATGATGACGGATTTGACGTTTGTCCGATCAAAATATCCTTAAATACTGATAGCTACATATCGTAGATTTATACTTAATATCATACGTCTACTTTATTCTTGGATATCAGAACACAATTATAAGATGTCAAAAACGCCATATTATTGGTCGCTAGCTTAAAAATGTTACTTGACACTTTAAAATTCAGTAAATCATCTTTATTGCACATGCATATAGGTTGACAATTTGAAGGAATTTTATATACATATATATACAAACATATTCACATCATAAGAATAAATGTCTAGGTAGAACTGACACTCTCGTGAATTCGGTAACGTGAACTATATTGGTGCGCTGACGGCTCGCGTCCAATTCGTGTCCTTTTTCTGTCAGGGCTCCCAAGTAACAGACACCACAGAGAGAGAGAGCGTGCGTCTCACTCACTTGTACATATGAACGCAACACGGGCCATATCGTAAAATTATTTTGAATGGTTGCCACCTTAATTTGTAGCAACCTTTGCAGTCTATATAGTGTTTAAAGGGGTCGCAAAGGAAAATACACGAGTGTCACTTCCACCCAGTTTCTTTATTCTTATGTCCACACCATCAATTTTAATCCAACAGACCAATACGAGTTCGCCGCACCCGCACGCAAGAAGTTCAATCCCAAATCATCATTAATGGTGGCCTCCGACTTTGGAAAGAGGAGTTATGTTGATGACAATAGTGATGAAGGTAAAATGTGATTGGAGGCTTACTATATGGGCGCCTTTGTTATCAAATGAAACCAACATAAAATATTTGGTGTGTTTTGAAATAACTCAACATAACGAAATTATGAACTTGCTTGCTATTACTATGCTCATAAAAATATTGGTTTCTACATTGATATAGTCTAATAAATTAAAATTTGAACAGAATATGAAATTAGAGTGACCAGAGGCGTTTTCAAACCAAACGCAAAGATCCTTATCGCCAGGGGTTACGGTAAAAGAAACGAACTGGAAAATCATGGAGGTAACATGAACAGGAGATAATCTGAAATCCATTATGAGAGAAAATACACACACAACGCCGATCCGGTGTTGTTTAACGTGCAATTTATGAGAAAACGGCTTAAAGCCGATAGCTTTTATTTGTATAAAGCATTATACGATTTTTGCTATTTGTGTAAAAGTTAACTTATAGCCTCGGGGACCGGCGATATTAGATATGGTGGACAAACATACAACACCCACTTCACTGACTATAAATACATATACTACATTACTATACAATTCATACCTATTTGCTTCAATCGCTTGCTTCACATGGTGAATAATAGGCCTAAAATGCTATAATTATACAATGTCTAAACTGATTAGGTGCTTTATAAATGTGTTATAATATAATTAACTTTAATTGCCAAATATCACATCATTATGAACTTTATTATTAGGTTTATTATAATCTGTTTTTCTATATTTGTCACAATAAATAGACAATTTTAACATATTTCTTTATCGAATTTAGTAATTTAATAATAAATGTATTAATTATAGCATTATTAATTTATCTATTTGTTTATCGTATGCATTACATAAATAAATAGCTAAGCAACATTATTTACAAATTGTGGCAAGTATATTATAACAGATTAAATTAGTACTTAGGATTGGGTAGGACTTCATATTGTTACAGAGTAATCACAAAATCCAAATACTGCAAAAAATATGATATAAAGTTTTTATTTGCACAGTGATTAAAAAAGTCTGTCTCAAAGTTTACTAAACTTGCATAAATGCCATTGTTTTTATAATGGCCGACTGCATAATTCTTATATCACTGTCAGCGGTTGCCTTTATTAGCAAATTGAATAAAAATACTTCTTCAGCCTCCGCAAGAAATAACATTTACAATTTTAACATAATGGAGACTTTTATAATGTCGAAAGTTTAATAAGATATTATGAGGAGTATTTGAGATAATATTCCTGAATCATACTTAAGGTTTCGCTCTATTAAGCCTACAGATAATTAGAATTATACCTAATGCAAACTCAAATACTGAAAGTGACCTCTATGGCATAGTAATCATATTACTTTGTGCAAATGAGGATCAAAGAATCGAAACAACAGGATTGGAATGTATTTATCGAATCATGAATTCAATAAATCGGTTTTAATCTAGGTGTTTTGATTTATGCCTTACATGTTAGTTGTTTAATTTCTCATGACATACGATTTTCACCGTTTGAAAATTGTATGTATATATTTTGTATTTAATCTTGTAAATTACTCTGTAATTTACAAAACACATTTCGTAATTTTAGAATTTAGAATATGGATTTTATTTATGATGATATCATTATAGTCTAATGAGAAGGTAATGATAATAACTGTCCCATACTTCAATGAATTAGAATTCCTAGAGGAACTTCCCAATTAAACAATGGATGGTATGTATATAGTGTAAATTAGATATAGAGTAACAAAATTCACCATTTTGTTACTGCCACTGCGAGATATGTCGTTACTGCTGACCGCTGCTATATCTTTGTGTGTAACTACAAAGCCGCCATTTTTTTCTGACGGTATATAAAAGGTGAGAAGACACTAGATAAATTCATTTAGTGAATGGAATGGTTGAAGTGCTTGCGATGGAGGGCTTTCATTGTGCCTACTGGCGACTTTATGAGATACTTTTGTATCAGAAATGTTGCTTATTGCGTATGTCAGTGTCGTTACAAGATATAAGTTAATTGGAGGTGTGGAACTACTTCCAGTTGGGTCAACCATTTATTATTTTTCTTTTATTTTTCAACACAAGTTGGTTTTCGTAACTTCACGTATCTCTTACTAAAGTGTTTATTGCGTTTTTATTTGTGGTCAATAGTTAATATATTTCTACACAATAGAAATATAAAAAAATTGCATATAAAACTTCATACGCTTTCTGTTTTTACCCAATGGTTAGCTGGTAGAGAATGCCATATGGCATTAAGCTCGCCATTTGAACAAAGTTATATTGTGCAATAAAGAATAAATAAATAAATAAAACTATAAACTAGTAAATACACTATTTAATTTGTAGTTTTACTAATATCTTAGAAACAAATTATATATTTAAATAATAAATAATAATCAAATTCACAATGTTTTTATGTACTTATAATTATGTAAATAAAAACTATTTAAAACCAGTTGGACTGATTTAGATAATTTTTTTTCATTGTCCGATTAATATGGAAAGACAATTTGGGCTATACACCGTATAGACTCTCTGATCTGTAGTATAGTCTACTGTATCAGTTATTTTTTAATACATTTTACTTGATGACTATCACAGTGAGATACAATGAGACATGCTTATATTAAAGTAATCAAATTATAAATATAATTGTGAGAGACTGGTGCCTGAGATAGGTATAAGAATACCTGTATTACAGGTCACCAGAAGTGAGCTTCTATACTATATATATGTTGATTTACCAAACCGTTATTGGTTTGTAAATTTGAAATATTCCTATAACATAGTGATAATTACACCGCAGTTGAAATCATCTAATGGATCACTGATTATTGTTTATTGACACTGATTGGACTTTACAAAAGGTCCTATGATCGCTCAAACGTATTGACATGTAGTTATCGCGATATATCATTGGAAATTTAATTAGTATAATGTTAAATAATATATTAAAATATATATGTTTTAAACATTTTTAAATAATGCCCAATCTAAACAGATACAACTTTTTAGATACAACATATTATAATAAAAATTAACAATGTTATTTGTATGATATATAAAAATTGTTAAAAAATATATTATTAAATAGGTCTGATAGAATAATTATAACAATGGAATGAAAAATATGCATTACAAATTAATTATTAAATTATTGTTAATTATAAAATTGAGTTAAATGTTTTAGATAAATATTTTACATTTTTTTTTATAAGTTACGAAAACCTACTCAATCAAAATAAAATGATGATCAATTCATCATTTATTTACCAATTTATCGCAGTGTGTTTAATTAATGACAAATAAACTGTCCGATAATACGTTGTGTTAACATACAAAATAATTTACAGTTTACGGTCTGGACAACTTCTGGGAAACGCTGGAGGCTTCACCAGAAAGGGAAGGACAAGATGGTAACGAGGAGAAAGCAGTTGAAAGGTAAAATATTATATATAGTCATTTCTCTAATTTTATTATAACAATCGTGAACTGTCTACTGCTGGACATAGACATAGACATATTGCTACCCATAAGTGGGGTGTTGCCAATAGTTGCCACGCTCTGCAGCCACTGCCACTGCCACGCTCTTGGTGGTGCTGCCTCATTATTCTACAATTAAATTCTCTTAGTCACCTCCATATGGCAATGCAATTTTTTAATTTCTTTAAACCAATCTCTAAAATTAAGACTTTAATTTGATATTACCACGAAATCTTTATTATAAGGATGAATATGAACTAATATTATTATACACACACTGCCCGCTGGAAACTAATGCTCCTTTCTAATCAGGATTTGCTGGAAGAGAACTCTTACAGAGTTAAAGCTCGCCTGTTGTACATCTTTATTAATTATAAATTATATGTTTGTAATTTTTTGTGTAACAATAAAGAATTAATAAGTAAATAAATATTTTTTTAGTATTGGTTCTAGTCAAAATTATTATAATTTTAGTTTATAATGGTCTACAAAAAAGTAATTTTGCAAAATTATCAATTTAAAAAGTTAAGTTTAGAGAAACAGCAGCTTAAAATCAGTAAAATCAAAAACTCATATTATCTTTTTTAATGGATAATAATGGAATGGTAACCCACCCGCGCTATTGGTATACACCGGCGGGGCACCAGTGAAGGATGATAGGCGAGGAGATGAAGTAAGTCAGTTAGCCCATCGTGACGAATTCAACAAGAATTGTTTACGATGGTTTCCAGGGGAAACCACGTGGAGGTCGACCTAATAAGGCATATTGCTAACAATGGGGCTGTCAAACTCCATTACTAACAATTCCTTTCCCCCCTAAAAACTCATAATATATATGCTGAAGTAGTTATATAGAGTTTGTTTGATTGCTTAACAAACATCTTCACAGATATTACTTTTTTATATTTGTAAGATTAAGCAGTCTTAATAATGTACTTTCATGGATTTAATTAAAAACAGTTGAAGAAAGACTGTTATAACGCTGTAATGCAGTGACGTACAGTAATTGTCCCCAGGAGTAGGCTCGTGTCAGCAGACTGTATTAAATAAAATTCCAAATTTTGTTTAATTGCCTCTTACTTTTGAAGCTTTGTTAATTAATGGACTTTCTTAATGATAAGTGAAATTGTTATATGAAAACAAAAAATTAGATAATTTTTAAATTATTTTAAAAAGGAGAAGGGATTTCCTTTTTTTATCTGTATGTTATTTTATTTTTTCTATGTCTGTCAAATAACATCTAACAATTATTAGGATTTTTAATCTCAACAAAAACTTCATTTGCTTATGTTATTATTTTTGATTGAAAAATTGAGATTTGATTAACACTATGCTATCTATGCTATGACGAAATTGGTTAAGCTATACTAGTCTCGGCAATTGCGAGATTTTGTTTTGAGACGGAACACACATTAAATGCATAATCTCAAATACCATCTTTCGCTGGTATTATCCTCAATCTATGATCTACTTTGAAATCCGTTATTGATATTATTTAAATTAAATATTCAAAATACTATTCAATAGCGAAAAGATGGATGTCTTACATTCGTCTGAATTTTCATTACGATTGTTGATTCGTTTTCCTTCTGAAGTTTATTACGAAGCAAAATTGTTGAAAATACGCGATTCTGTGTACATACTACACAGCTATAAATAACAGCGATAAATCAAATATATTCAATATAATGCGTCTACGAAACATTTTTTATTCATCTGGGTGTGTGTGTGTGTGTATGTGTGTGTTTACGTATGCGTTTACTTATGCGGGCACGTGTGCGTATATGTGTATGTATATCTGTGTGTGTGTGTGTGTTTGTTGACGATTGAAGTCGCTTTTTTGCGGTGTAAAATATATTTTTTAAAATCTTTAAAAATATAATTATCATTTATTACATTTATGTTTATTATTTTAAAATAAGACTTTACTTATTTTTCGCAAATATAATTGTAATTTATTACACATAACTTATTCCATTCCATCCACAAACAAGATCATTGAATTTGCCACATGGAAAATAAACATTTATAAACCCCATGACGATACATTTAACTGCCACATGCAAATGACACGCACCAGCGCTTTCAATTACAATTTTACATAATTAACAATCGGTAGTTTTGCATGTGATAGCATTTATTTTGTCGTTTTGCTAAGTACTCTTTACAGTAGGCCTCATACGAGATAGGCAATCAGAGCGAATTGAGTATCGAATATTTAATAAATCTGAATGTACCAAATATTACAAAAAAGTTTGGAAATAATACACTAACTTTGGTGCACAATTTCTTAATTCGTATCCCTCTAATGTTAAGTGATTTTAGGCCGCCTTCTGAAGTGTTTCGACGTGTCGTTATGTCAAACAAGTTGATGGTCTGGTAATTGTCGTCTATAGACGTGGACAGCATTATAGATATTAGAGAATAATACTGTAACGCCCATGATTACTCCTCATTCATATATACAAAATACGACTATATTAAACGCTTAAATATAGTGTAATACTGCGTTTAATCTAAATACAATTATTTTTCGAATTTATTTATCGGATTTAATAATTAAATTGATACCTACATGGAAGTAAATCCATTCCCGTATTGGTCTCATATTAGTGAAAAAAATTAACAATTAGTTTAGAATTGACAACATAATCATGACACCATAAAACTGTGAAAATTCTGGAATTTTTGGAGTCGCTAAAAGACAAAAAATATATAGACTCATTTTAAATAATTATTATTTGTAATTTAAATAATACACATGTATTATAATATAATAAAATTAAAACACAATACGTATATTCAAGCATTGTTAGTCTGAATAGACTTTACTAGGTTTACCATTCGAGCATTATAAATCAAAACTCATTCATTTGTAATTTTTAATGCTTGACGTAGCACTGTTGGTTCTTAGTTAATATCTAAGCTCATTATGTTCGAATAATCGAAGCACAAATTCTATTTACAATAGAATAGAACATGACGGGTTATTTAGCTGACTATCTCATTACTAAAATTATGTTGTGTTTGCAGTTATATGTATACTATTAATTCTTAGATTGTATAGATAGAGCATCGAGCTACAAAAATGGGTCAACTTTTTGTCAGTTAATTGCCAAATAAGCTGACTTGTTTTTTTTTTATTAGTATTGTTTATACTTACGCATAAAATGTATTTTGACGTATTTTTTAATAAATAAAGTGAGCGTTTACGCATTAAAAAGATGCAGAAATTATAAGACAAAATAAATATAGAAGATAGTATCAAAAGTCCAGGCCGCCTTATTAACACGAAGGCCTCTGATATGAATGTGGCATATTTGACGAAAGCATTACGTGTTCTCCGAAGCACGAAGCATGTGACACTCTTGTTTAAATGAAAAAGCGTGATTGTGTGGCAGTTGTCTTGTTAATATTATAAATGCGAAACTTCATAACGATGGATGTATAGATGGATGTTTGATAATCTTTCATGCTAAAATTATTGAATGGATGAAATTTGGTACACGGGTAGATTATATTGCAACTTAGTACATATAAATACTTTATATATTGAGTCACGAGGATGAAGCCGCGAGATATGGCTAATTATTAAAGATGAATAGAGATTGAGGTCTAGATTTGATTTTAGAATAGACATACCATAGACAAACAAGCATTGTCCGACAGAGCTGTTATTTCTTGTTTCGAAAAGAAACAGCAATTCCAATTTTAATTGAGAAAAAATAAATATGGGTTCAATACGCGAGCAAACTTCGTCTACCTAAATCGATCTCAAAAAAAAAACTACGAAATAATTAGTACAGAAAAAAATAGATAAATAATCGAAAACTTTCCTTTTTCGATATCAGATTTAAAGGATCTTGAAAGCAAATACTATAGATTGTTAAAGCAGAATATACTCACGACTGCAAGTCTAGAGAGTGAATCCAACTTAATAAAGTATATAGGGAGTAGTTCTTAATAGCCGGTAAGCCTATTATATTCTCTCGATTAATTTAATTATAGTTGCTCCCATTATCGGGAAGTTTGTCAAATATTTTAATTAACCATAATTCTATTTTGTGTCTTTGTATTTATAAATAGGGGTAGTAAATTACTAAACTTCTATCTCTATTGTATAATGTAGGTATATCCTAAAAACAAAAAAATATATAAAATATGACAGAGACAATTAGAGCTAAGAAAATACGAAATAAAAAAGCTTTCTAAAAATATTATTAGAGGAAATAGTAATTGTTCTCGTCTGACCTCGAGTCAGTCTTTTAGTAGAAACTAATTCTTGATCTCTTTATCTTTTACGAGTACTCTCATTTCCTTTTTAGAGTTCTTCATTCGAACGAGAAATCCTTGAAGCAGCATCTGTCACTTATATAAATACCTACAAATTAATGTCAAATTAAAATGTTTAGCATTTTAATTTGACATTAATTTGTACGAAGAACATTTTATTTCAAATTTGTTGACTTTGTTAAATTACAATTATTTAAAAAATATTATTTAGCATTTATATCGAAGCGAGACAACGTCAGTATCATGTAATAACAAAAAAAAATCATAATACTTTACGTCTGATGTACGTTAATAAAGCTACAAATTGTTGCTACTATTACATTTTTATTTGAATTTAAAAATTCTAAATCCAAGACTGAAATTAATAAATTAAACCTATTTGGACGATTAATATATTAGATATATACCAGTAATGGTGATGTCAAAATGGGTGATGATCTTAAATACCAAAATATATATTAACGATATATTGAAATTTTATACATAGATATGATTCGATATCACCCATAACCGATATTACATATAAAAAAAAAAGTTGTTTTCATAGTTAATAAGTTTTTTATTTTACAGTATCCCACTGGATTGGTTCGTAAACGAAATGCTCAACAACCCAGACTTCGCCCGATCGGTGGTTCGTAAATTTGTCGATCTCAATCAGGTAATTATATAGCTAGACATTTACTCGTATTACATACGTACTATGTAATTTTATGCAATTTTTATATTTATTAGAATTAATTTTAGGTCTAGAATTTTTTTACATTATTTGTAAACGTTAATAAAATATTAAATTATGGAAGGATTTCGAATTGTAGATCAAAGTTACTCTACGTTTCGACCTTCTTACTTAGAATCCTTAATATTATAAATGTGATAGTAAATATATTTGTTTGTTATATCTTGACAATTCTATAAAATAAAAAAAAAAAGTATATAAAAATTGGTTCCAATTCCAGTAGAAGTTAATAATATTACTATCAAAATATCCATTAATAAAATAACATATGAGTATAATGGAATTACGAATTCTCGTACTCAATTTCATAATTTAGAAGTTTATATTGTCTTTACTTTGAATTTAGTTTACATAATAAAATCCTTCTGGGTCTGATTTTGCAGACATATTAAATTGGCTGTTGAAATATTTGCATCGCATTTCCCAAAATGTGAAAGTGCATTTAGATTTCAAGGGAGAGTTTCACTACGGCAAACTATTTCAAACGAGTTTGAGGTATCTATGTAAGTTTGAACCGAGTTAGAGGCAACGAAGCGTATAGAAAGTTCCGTCTTCTGGTATTGAGAACAATGGCTGCTTAGTATATTTACAAAAAAATATAATTTAAACTAGTTAAATATTGATTTAAATTAATGCATATATATATATATATATGCTTGCTTTCTAACGCGACAGGTATTGAAATGTAACTTGAGGCAAAATTGCAAAGCTATATATATTGAATCCGTGTTTTTAAATATATAACATACAGGCAAAAACATACATCTTTGTGAGTAAGATTCGCACTTTTGTAGCAAGAAAAATAATTTGACATTTAAAAATATTCAATTGGAATTTAAGAATTTGTGGTGCGTATGAATACGTGGGTAGATGTTTAATATTATTTTAGAAGTATCTATAATAAATAGAAATAGGTAGATAATTTAAAGGACGATTGATAAATTGTAACAAGTCAAGCTTAGTGAAATAAAAATATAATTTATCTACTCAAACATTAAAACTATTCTATTTTTATTTTGTATCTGTTCTACAGACAATAAAAAAAGTAAATAAAATATTAATTAACAAAAATAAAGGAAACAGAAGTACAAAAGGTTTCAGTGATAAGTAATTACTAAGATAAAACAATATTAGTTTTAGTAAGTCAGTTTACAACTTTATGATTGAAATCAAATTAAAGGGAATTAATTGACTTTATAATAAAACTAAATATCGATAACTCAAATATTTACAATAAATAGAAAACAAATACCTAATCGTTATAGTTGGGTTATCTAAAAGGCTGTCCGTATTTTATATCGCCAGATAATATAACGCTGGCATAAATAAAATAATATTTCTTATTTCTATATAAGTTATTTACTTTTTTTTTGTTTCAGGACGGCCAGCTATCATCGGAGGAACTGCTCAGGAATGTGGTTTAAATTTAGTTATGTTACAATAATACTCAAGTACCTATTATTTTATTAATGTATCGATATTATTTGTAAGTATTTAGCGCATAATTTATTCAATAAATTACTGTATGTACAGATGAGTTAATAAATTATTATATTTATAATGTTACGGTACTGTGATATGAAATAAACAAGATCTTTATTTGTTTAAAATAAACTGAATAATATAATTATTGTTTTAACAAGTTTCATTATACTTAATGACTGTTGAAGAGAATTAATTTAAATAAATATATTGTTACTCAGATTACTATCAATGTTGTAAATAAACGATGTCAATGGCATAAGAATTGTCCAAAAGAGAGACTACTCTTAATTATTTAAAAGACGTAGGTTAAATTCTTAGAGATCTCCTTAACTTTTTGCCGCGATTCTATGACGCAATGAATAAAATCACAAAGAGTTAAAGTTTAAGCTATTCGGAGTCAAAATAATGTAAGAGGTACAAGACTAAAATGTAATTTAATATTAGTCATGATTAATTCTTTCAATCGAGTCTATGGCCTAGTTTGGCGGAAGTCCTGAGACGGCACCGAATGTCAATCTCAATGTTTTAAAACTACTAAAGTCAATAGTAAATTAAGAATAAACAATGTTCCTTTTTTAAAAATTAAAACTATTCGGTTTGTATAAGTAAAAGGAAGGCAATCTAATATGCGGCCTTAATAATTGTTACTACTTTTACTGGTTTGGCAAGTTATGTATTTCTTTTTTCAAAGTGTTAAGGCAAATTTACATTGTGTCTTCTAAAGACAATGGTGGTGCAGTGAATTCAGAATAAGTGTAGAGTTGTTTAGAATTTGAAGCAGTAACTGACTTTATGTAAATTTGCTTTAAAGTAAATTATTTTAATATGTCATGTCATGCTGGCTATAGGTTAAATAAGAGTGCGTGCGTTGAGGGGTTTCCAAAGAATACTTTTAGTTTATTTCCTCTTTCGTAATTTCGCCAATGTACCTATTTATTTTCATATGTATATATATAAAATGTCATTATTGTTTCATATAATTATGAGACAAATTAAACTTCATCTTTTTCAATAAAACTAAAAACTTAATTGTAATAATTAATTCTTTGTAGATTGTGTCTGTTGCGATGTTGGCAAATTACGATTCTAGAAATTAAACAACTATTATTGTCATTATTTTACTTGGTACTAATTTGTTAAAAATAATACGTCAGATTAGTTTTTGTAAATGAAAAAATTAAAGTTTAATTCCAATTAATTATGGTGGTTTGTATTTATCTAAACTAGGCTGGGTATTCAATGTATTCTAATGAAGTCAATTTTCACGAATATAAAATAATTAGAGAAACATTCTGTCCTGTTGTATTGCTCTACATACATACATGTTTAACGAGATTGTATGAATATAATAATTGTAGGGTAATTAATTGGTAAATATGACACCTGAATGTTTGGATAATCTGTATTTACTTAGTTTGTTGTTTACCAATGTGACGTTATGGATAAAAATAAATATATCGGGTACCGAAATGGCATTTTTATTTATTTGTCACAAAATGATGAGCGTTCATAACGTGGCTCATCCAAGCGCGGCATCGGCGGAATTATCAGACAATTTTAAAAAACGAGTGGACATTTTTTAATATATCTAATTGCTCGTTTAAAAAGTTCTATAATAGCGAATTAAAATGTTAATCGCGCAATAAAATTCTCATTAAACTGCTTCTGTAAATTTGGATTTTGGTGACAAAAAGTAGATGTAGGTAAAAGTCAGAGGTAAATAAAATGTAGGTTTTTTTTTATGATACAATGGCAAACTAGCTGACGGTCCACCTGTTGGAAAGTGGCAACCGTCGTCTATAGACGCGTATAGCACAGAATACACTTCGATTCCCGTGGTACTTTTTTCACCTTATGCGTTGTCATTCCTAAAGACTATGATGTAAAATGTTTAATAATAACTAAAAAACTAGTCATTTTTATAGTTTTACTTATTCATTTTTTTACACATCTTTAAACTCAGTTTTAGGATTTTACTCACCGGTACAGGTAGTACAGTGCCTAGATAATCAATTTTTAATTATGTCAGCAGTGATAGAATTTTTATATGTACGTACTGTTTACCCGTAATCACGTTAAATTCCGAACATGACTTTAATTTTTTTTTAAATAATCAAACAGTAATATTTAAAAATTGTTTAGTTAAAAAATTGACAAATAAAATCGATGTTATAACACTTGGTAAGCTTTGGCTTCGTTCTTAATATGCTGGTCACATACCCTATAAAAATGTAAGTAGGGTCAGCAAATAAATGGGTTTATTGTATTATGTGCCTACATACTGGACGTAGGAAGGTGCTGAACGGGATGTCACGTAATCACTAAACGATTGTCACTGTTTATTTGATATATCACTTCGGTTCTTAACACAATAGCGCTAAAGGTCAAAGTTGGATGGGAGGTTATTTTAATCATATCCCTCCTACGTATCTGCTATTTGCTAAATAAGAAAAGTAAATACAGTATAGTAATGAGAACATGAAGTAATTATATACACCTAACAATATAATAAATTTAATCATTTATTTATAAATCAAATTGAAGTACTGAATTAAAACTATAATTCCGTTCGCCTGAAGATAAAGTTCCAAATCTAGTCGCGTGTAAAAAAAATATTTTTTTATAAAAATAGTGAAACAAATTAGAATTAATTGGAGTAATATTATACGGGTATAATTATTAATAAAAACTATTTTAAAAATATTATTTTCACGAATAGTTTCAAATGGATACCTATAACTTTGTAATGGATGCATTAATTTCTTTAAATATTTTTTTTATTTGAAATTTAGAACTTTGCTCCATTTTTTAATAAAATTAGTGTCACTAGCTTTCTGTGTAAGTAAATAGGTACGTTTTCACTATAGCTTACATGAGAAATAACAAGATGCCTTCATCCTATATTCGGATCCTTCAAATGTAGCGTGAAAAAGCACTAAAGCACTTAGTGAGCCTGCATAGTGCGGCCAACCGTTGAGAGTAGAACATTCTCTTTTCAGTTGATCGCATTCTTGAACTAAATTGTCCCTGTGTTTGCCCAGAATGGTGTGATCTATAACGTTGTTTCATATAATGTATACGATATCATAAACGATACAATTATCTGAAATAATAGACATTTGGCAAGAGGACATTAAAAAAACATTGAAAAAGAGAAAATAAATATTTTTTTCATCTGTAATAGAAACTAACCCAAACCATTTAAAAACTAAATTTGAAGAGAATTTATGCCATCTAAAAAAATAATAGCTAAGTATTAAATTTGGACATTGGAATAATATAAGTCTGTTATCTGACCACACCGTGTTTGTTTCGAATACTAGTTGTAAGTCGTAGCTTTGCACATGTGAACTGGTAATCCTGGATAGGTATCATCTCTAAATTTTATTATATAATAAATGATGGCCACTGAACTATACGTCACTAAAGATATAGATACCAAGGAATCCAATACTTTTAGAGATGCTAAGGGATGTGCCATAGAATTATCAAGTCACAGCAAATTTTTATTTCATTAACGGAATTACGTCTGCTCTCCTCTCTTCATTTCATTTGTATGCAGACGACATGCAATTATATACTGCTGCTCCCATCTACAACCTTACTAATGCTGTAGATGTAATTAATAATAATTTGAACGTAATTGCTAAGTGGACGAAAGATTTTGGGCTTTTAGTTAACGCAGATAAATCTCAAGCGGTCATTATGGGTAGTTCTCATTTTATTGCTAAACTTCGATATTTAACAGTTCCCAACGTTATTTATGACGGAAAAATAATCCCATATTCCACTACTGTTAAAAATTTGGAAATTTTTATGAACCAGACACTTTCATGGATCCTCATATAAGTGAAGTAAGCCGAAGAATCCACGCATCACTACATTCCTTAAAGCGCCTGCAGAACTTCCTCCCTTTAGGAACTAGACTGTTACTGGCTCAATCTCTTCTTCTTCCTCTTCTAGACTATGTTGATGTTGCCTACCTAGATCCCACACAGGAGCTTGTTGATAAACTTGAGCGACTGCAAAATAAATGTATTAGATACATCAATAACCTTCGAAAGTTTGACCACATATCTAGTTATCGCAGTCAACTCAAGTGCCTTCCTATCAGGCTACGGAGAAATGTCCACATGCTTACTTTTCTTTTCAATATCCTTTTTATTCCAACATATCCACATTACCTTCAGGAAAGATTCAAATTTCGCGAAATTGATGTTCGCCTAAGATGCAGTAATGACTTCATTATAGATTTGCCTTGTTTTAATACTCAAAGCTATGCCATGTCATTTACTGTACATGCTGCACGTCTCTGGAATTCACTTCCTAATAACTTAAAGATGGCACAATCGCTGAAATCTTTTAAAGCAGGTATCATAAAATTTTATTCTGAAAATCCCTCTTAATTGAGCCAATTGTGAATATATGTATGTATGTATGTATGTATGTATGTATATATATATATATATATATATATATATATATATATATATATGTGTGTGTGTGTGTGTGTGTGTGTGTGTGTGTGTGTGTGTGTGTGTGTGTGTGTGTGTGTGTGTGTGTGTGTGTGTGTGTGTGTGTGTGTGTGTATGTGTGTAAGTTTTTTATTTATTTATGTATAAATGTTATATTATTATTCATTAACTTTTATTATTTACATATGTAGGTATATAGAGCTGTTTTTATTGTGTTATATATTCAATTTTTTTTACTGGGTATTATTTAGTTTATCTTTAATTGTACGGTTATTACCCTTATACATTCTACAGTTTTCTTTCAGCTTCTCAAAGGTTGAGTGTAAGAGATCCCTTTATGGGATAAGTCCGTCATTGTATATTAAATCATTTACCAGTGTTTAATCTGAGTTATGTATAATAAAGATTTTACAATACAATAATTTTTTTTTTTGCAGTAAACGCGCAAGCTTATTTTAGCAGGATTAAACTGGATTTTGCCGTTCCCAATCAGAGATCCTAACTAATGTTCTCTCGATTTCAGACGCAAGCTGTTCACGACTGTCCTTCACAATCGAATGAGGAACATTGGTACGACCCGGAGAATGGGCTGTATAAGTTTACTAAAAATTTAATTTTGGAACATGCTAGTTCTTTTTATTACCTATTTAGCTATTTTATAGATCATGAAGATTAACGTTTGTCGAGCATCGCGATCGTATCCATTTTATTTTACTGTTTCGGAACACATTACCTGAGAAGTCGTACTGCGTAAATTCCATCCTGAGGCGAATTTCAATTATCCACATACTCAAGAGACGTGATAAACCAGATGATACAGATTCGTTATCTATGCTATTAAATCTTCCATGAGTACTTAAGTTGCATGGTTATCGGATTCTTTTATTGCTACTAGACAGTATTTTGTAAATACGATATACATTATAATCTAATTGTTATGTATTTAGAAATGTATAGAAAATGTTTATACTATTTTGTGTTTTATTTTACATTTATACTATGTTTTTAATATTTATTAGGTCTTAAGACCTCGAGTCAGTAACATGCTACTTACTTGGTATTTATTGCTAAGAGCTAATAAATAATTTTAGTAATAAATTGGTGAAACACTTTTCTGTGATTTTTCATTTAAAATTTTTTGTTGTAATTTCGACATTTATGTTTGCTTCTTATTTTGATTATTCTTAGTAGTTAAAGCAAGTTTCAGTTAAATTCTGAATATTATACTCGTCTTTTATAAGTACTTGTGTCAGATCTAATTTTATATAGATTTTTTAAATATACTGTTGATGTACTTAAATTGATAAACAAATACATCGACACATAAGAATATAGAGGTCCCAAAACACCAATTAATCCTCAATTCCACATAAACTATAGTTATTATCTTTATTTGATACGAGTATATCTGCCGAATCGTTAACGTAAAGCTTGTAGCGGTCATGTATAAGCGCCTTAAATGCTGACATAGTCTCTCTATTAGCGCTTTTGGTGCAGTTCTAATTATTGGACTCCATAATTTTGTTAGTACTATTAACCAACACAGGAGAAAAGCTTTAAAAATTGCACAAGAAATAGTGAAAATTGGTTCAGAAATTAAACGTGTAATTAAATCATGAATTATTGAACAAGACGGTGATTAGTACTCGGCGTTTTCTGCCAATCCCGAAAGGAATCTGGCGTAAAGATATACATAAAAAAGGCTATTCAATCATAACAAATTTAATATAGAATCTACACTAAAATAAAGTCTATTGATTAGGTATTGACAAATATGTTGTATAACATATGTACGCAAAAAACACAAGCGTAATGGATGCCTCATTCTTTTAATAGTTATTCTAATATATTTTTCTCACACCGCTTTAAAATGTTTATTTGTCTGTTTAATACGTTCAATTTAAGACATTTTGTGTACCATGTGAGTGTTTTTTTCCTTTTATGCGCCTCCTTAGTTTTATGTTTTAGAGGTTGTCTGAAAGATATTTCTTTAAT